CTGAGGGGAGTTCAAGACCTGCCGATGCAGAGGACATCAGACCATGGGACAGGCCAGCCCATAAACTCTACGGAGCTCGACTCTAAAACCAGGCATTTCTGCGTGAAAAGAGTGGGGGCCTGACTGACATAGCCCAGGGCCAGCCACGAACTTACTGCGTTCATGCCCTGTCCGTAGAAGGGCACAATGGCATGCGCGGCGTCTCCCATCAGCACGCACCGGGAAGCAAGGTGGTAGGAGGAACACTTCACCGAAATCATGGCCTGGGCTGGCAGCAAAAAGTAATCGTGCTTCAGCTCTCGCCTTCAGGCAAAACAACAGATACTTCACTCGTGGGACCACAAGAGACAAGAAGAGCAAGTCATGCCACATCCAAGCTCAGGAAGCCGGGGTCACGGGCACTGTCAGCCTTGGGATGCAAAACCCAAGCCTATTCACTGGGATATTTGTGCTGGGAAAAATGTGGAGGCCATAAAACCTATTTCAATAACTTCCCTCAATGGATCAGATATTTTGTCTGCAAGTTTTAAGCTCTGCAAACAACCTGACCATGAGTGTGTCATTGGCATCTCAGTCCTTTTACCATGATGGTGGCCACTGTAAGAAGGATATGCTAGAGGATACCTGAGTTTCTAAGTTTATATGAAGAGCTGTGATACAGTCTCCTTAAGAGGAAAGGAAACTGCCTAACACAGCTGAGACCCTTCCTATCAGCCAAAAAAAGCCCAAAACAGCTAACGATGTTGCAAAGCAGAAGCAGTAGTAGTGTGGGCTGGAGCTCCCCCGGCTTGGCAGCTTCCCTCTTTGCAGGAAAATGAGGACACACTGAACAGAGCCAGAGCCACCAGGATGTGTGCTGGGAAGGCTGGTCCTGGTCCCCACTGCCACCAGGGTCCCCACGCGGAGTGCGATGCTCCAGCTCCATGCTGCTGCCCTCGTGCAGTTTGCCCAGCAGCGAGAGGGTCCCCGCTGCCCAGGGAGCAGCACGCCGCTGGGAACTGCCCGCTCTTGTGTCTCACAGCCCTGATAATTTGCTTTAGCCATACAATCGGTAAGTGCCAGACTTTGTTTAGTCAGCACAGTGTTGGGGTTTTTTTGCCAAGCCTGGCTTTTCTCGGTCCGATAGCTAAAAATCTCAACGTTTGTGCGACTCAGCTATCTGAGCAGCGGGACTACCTTCGTGCTGCTGGATTCGGCACATAGCCCTTACCTTCGCTCTAGTGGAGTTGCTTTGCTCACCCACCTCTAACGTCAAAAACCCACGGCTTACTAACAGCTAATCCATCCCTTGAGTTCAAAACCTTTAACAGCCATACAAAAGCACACAAAACATACAAAAAAAAAAAAAAAAAAGCATTAACACCCCCCCCATAAAACCATGCAAAAGCAGTGGGAGGTGATCTGCTCTTTGCTCTCGCAGGGGCAGGGACAGAGCAGTGCTTCAGCGCGGCTCCATCAGAAACTGCCGCGGGATGGGGCTGCGTCCTGCTGCCAAGCCTCTGCTGTTCCAGCGTGGACGCAGTGCAGACCTCAGTCTGTTTGCTCCCCCTCCTTCAAACCTAGAAGCTGTGGAGATCCACCCCAACACTGTTCACAACCCCTTGCCCTGCCAGCTTCAGTGGAGTCTCCATCACCAAGACCCCGAGGCTGGGTGGGGATGCGTCCCCCGGCTTAGTGGCACTGCATTGATGAGAAAGGGAGATGGGAACACTTACTCTCCGATGAGGGGGATTGCATCCGGGAAGTGGGTCTGGAAAAAATCCAGCACTTGTTCGCCGGTTGTGAGCTTCTCAAATTCCTCAAAGGGCATGAAGAGCGTGCAGGTGAAGGACTTGTCCTGCCAGCCAGGGAGGAAGATCAGAAAGAAGCCCAGAGACCATAGAGAGCACTTGGAACCTGTAGCCACAGCTCAGTGCCCAGCCTGTCACCCGGCAATCGCAGCGACCCACCCGTGTGGCGTGGATGAGTGTCTGGCCACCCTGTTCCCCATGGTGGGCTTGCATAGGCTGGGGGCAGGCGGGGGGGAGGCAGAAATGAGCAGTGTGCCTTCTGCCAGCACGGGCCTGGGACGCTGCCCTGGTACTCCCGTGTCTGGTTTATAACATCCAGCTGCAGAGAGCTGGGTTTTGGGGGGCTCAGGTGGGCGTGGATGCATGGCACAGGTACATGTAAGGCAGGGCCAGCTCTGGGGGTCCTGCCCAGCACCCCCAGGCTGTGGGACACCTGACACAGGCTGAGGGTCCCTCCTGGCACTTTGTCAGCCCTCCCTGCCACATGCCTGCCACCACAGCCAGTTCATCCCCACAAGCTCCATCCCACCCCCCAAGGGAGCTCAGCCATGGGTTATCACCATGTTGGGCAGCGCAATCATCATGAAGGTGTTCCTTGGCCAGATATGGAGGTAGTTTGGTTCCATGGCAAACTGAAAGAGAAGAAGAATTACCTTGTGCCCCTGCCCTGCTCAGTGTTCCCAGCCCAGCCTCTGGTCCCCTCCACATCAGCACACCAGTTCCCATCCTTTGTACCATGAGACGACAGAATGACCACAGGGCCCCTTTCTGGTACCTGATACTTTGGGGAGACACAGAGCAAGGGCAAGAGGAAAGCCAAGGAGAGATGGGCAAAGATCTGCAGGTTTGCAATTGCTGATGTCCTCACAGACATGTTCTTGTATCCCCAGGACCTCTCAGAGCTGGAGTTAACCCCACCCCTCTGGGGCAAGCTCTCCAGGATTTTTGGAGCCAGGTGCCAAGACCCCTACCATTGGAAGAGGACGAGATATGTGCCTTCTCCTAGGAAAGTTTTAATCCCTTGGCTGAGCCCCAAGGGAGAAATTAGTTTCTCTAGAGCTGCTGTAGCAGAGCCACCACTAGAGGGAAGCAGGGTGTCCCATCTGCAGTGGTGGTAGAAGCCCCCAGGACAGGCACACTCACGTCTCCATCCTTGGGAGGGATGGTCAGTTCCATATAGCCATGAGGAATATACTCGTGACTGTAGTTGAAGCGTGTTTGCCTCATGAACTCCTTCCTGACTGTTGAGAAGGCTCCATCACATCCCACAATGAGATCATAGGTGACTTGCAATGGCTGTTGGTCAGATCTGAAAACAAGAGGGTCCCTTGGATCAATCCGGCCATGACTCCAGGCCAGCACAGCACCACCGGGCACAGTGGATCTGCCTTTTGCAAAATGCGAGTGTCACCTCCAGCATTATTCATCTTCTAGGGTGAGGGAAGAATGGCTTTCACTGACTGGGAAGCTCAGCTTCAGGATAAATAATTGTCCTGTAGGTCATCAAAAGCATAACTCCGGCAGATCTACCCAAGAGTGCAACAGGCACTATTGGGATTGCGCTGCTGTTTCGTGGAGCTTGCATCCCCAGGGGAATGGGGGACATGACCAGAACTTAACACAAACTATGAAACAAGGTCGTTAGCTCCGCTCTCTGATGAGAAAACCAGTGCTGTGGAGAGACTGGCAGGTCGATTCCCTGCACAGGTCAGCAAGTGTGTGCCTAGCCTACTGCCTGGCTGCTGGGGGGTTAGGGAGTTGCTTAAATTGTTTTTCAGCTGCCCCATGTATCCAGCTTTTATGTCTCTCCTTTCCAAAGCTGACATTGGAAAACTGAGATTGCTCAATTGTTTGAGGTTTCGTGAATGATTAAGCAGAAACTAACTGAGCACAGAACTTGACCCTGGGCTTGCGCAGGGATTTACCGTTTTATGGTTAATGTTCCCAACTCTGCGTCGCACCCCACAAGCTTGTGTCCAAAGTAGAGTTTAATGTTGGAGTACTTATCAGCAGCTGTGAAGAGAAAAGATAACTAAATGTAGAGGCTTGTCCTGTGACCCCAAAAATATTTCCAAGAGATCCCTAAATTATAGGGATTTTTGTCATTTTAGTAAATAAGATTGCTGTGTTGAGGGATGGCCGGCAGGCAGGGTGCACTAGGACTGCGTTTGGTCAACTCTAGTGAAAACTATTTAAAAGTGCAAGGAATCCTGCAAAGATTTCTTTCTTCCCCACAACGATGTGAGTCATTGACCTGTTTCCACCATCCCTACATTGTAGTTCAGGATGGGATGCGGTGACCCGTCGGTGGGAAATTTGGGGAAATTTGGGGAAATTTGGGGAAATTTGGCCTGGCCCGACTATGCACTTTGCCAGAGTGCTCCAATTTCTGTTTGTCTCTGTACAATCAGGGGTTACAGAAAATGCCACGAGCCGTGGCAAGGCTGAGGAGGCATCTCCTGCTTTGGCTGGAGAAGTTCTGGGAGCAGACGCCGGTGCAGGAGCCAGGGAGCTGAAGCACCTCCCACTCGAGGGCGAATGCAGAAGAGCTGCTCTTCAGGGATTTCTGCACACCACAAAGGCCTTGGGGAGACTTGTTTGAATATACTTTTGTGTCAGACAAGCAGCAGGGAAAGAGCACAGATTTATTTCTTAAAAACACAGCTAGTTCACATTTGCACTTTCTGAGAGCCAGGTTATGCCGAAATCATAGGCAAAGAGAGCCTGGAGCCCAAAGTCTCCTGTTCATGGGGCAAACCCTAAATCCTTGGTGAACAGGGTTGTAAAAGTGTTTGCAAACAGACCTGGCAACCTACCTGTCAGCAGCTCTCTGTTTAAGTTTGCTCTGTCTACAGAGAGAATGTACTGCAAGGCAAAAAAACATGGGTTCAGGAGGCATTGCTGAAGGATGCTCTTCACAGTCAGATGAGAACCACCACTCTCTCCAAACAGCCCTGCCGAAAACAGGGGGTCGCACAATCCTCTTCTCACTCGCAGCATCCTTTCTAAGAGCGTGAGCCCCAGGGTGTCCATCACACAGAGCTACAAATGCCACCAAAGACCCCTCCTGCTCTGTGAAGCATCTCTGAGTGGCGTCACGAGACCAGTACCTGGTTCTTCTTTCCGTAAGGGATAGAGTACTTCTTTCCCGAAGGCGTATGTATCCTCCTTGCCCGCATGGGAATGCCTTTGGACACAATCTGAAATGGAAGGGAACATAACCCAGCCTTCTGGCCAAGACTGGGTTGCCGAGGGGCAGGGACACCAGCTACCAAGCACCGTTCCCCCCATGCACTGCACTCTGGGTGGAATAGGATGCTCTCTGCTCGTCCATTTTTGTATGGCTATCCAAGTCACTGGGGAAAATTTGACAGGGCTGTCAACAGCACGTCACTACATTTTACTGAGATTACTTATGAGCTCATTCTCATAAAAATCAGTTCAAAAATATTTTTTGATAGAAGGGACATGAAAAGCCCTTGGGTTCTGGACAGGGCAGGGAATGACAAACAAATTATATCCTGGTGCTGGGATGTGACCTGCCGCAGCCTGGGCTCCTTTTCTGCAGGGAGCCAGAGGCCAGGACATCCCACCGCTGCCAACATCTGGATGTTAAAGGGTAGCGAGGATGCTGCAGAGGAATGCTGGGCTCGGAGCCAAGTGTGCTGTGCAGAAGTTATTGTGCATGGATTGCAAGGGCCAGCCCAAAGCTCAAGGTTTTGTGGGAAAATACAGATCTGGGCATGTTCGTGGGGAAACCAGCCCCCTTTATTGCATTCTGCTGGCACACCAGCTCTTTTGAGAGTCCACCTGCTCCTGTCCCGTTTGCCATCACGCTCCTGGAGGGAGTGGAGCACAGGGGAGAAGTAAACACTGGAAGGTGTTGTCTGAGTGTTGGGTGTCCTGGGGCAGCACCCTCTGCCACAAGCAGAACCCAGCGGTGCTACGCCACGGCTGGGTCGGTCCCCGTTGGTGAAGCAGTGGACAGCCAGGCTGCAGGCATGCAGGGGGAGAGCTCTGCCGCCACCCTCATCGAGGTGCCCCTGCCGTGGGCCCTGCCTGCTTGGGGAGCAGAAAAGAGCCCATCCATCACCAGCTGAAGTCAAGAGCGTTTTAACCACAGAGACCCCACCACCGACAGAAGCTGCCAGGGTACCTGCTCTTCCATCCCCACAGCTCGGAGGGCTTGGCGTCCTCTGTGGGATAGAGCCAAGTTAATGCTTCTGCCGCGGGCAAAGCTGGCCACCCGGATATCGCGGTTGGTTATGGAGACAGCAATAGCACAGCCTGGTGTGGGCGGCATCTCCCGAAATCCCTGCAGTGGGGAGCCCCCGTGTCCCCACTCATGTGCAGGGGGGGCAGGTGTCAGTGGGCACGCTGAGCTGTCGGGAAGGCAGCTGGGCAGCTTGGAGGGCCGCTTCCTCTGTGCCACCTCTAGCCTGGAAGAAGCAGCCAAGAAGCTGCAAAGGGAACGCTGGATCCTGACAGGTCCCCACAGCGCCAGAGGGCACGTTATCACCACCAGCCATTTCCACCTGAAATGGAGAGAGGAGCCCAGTGATGAATGCCCAGCAGCTTCTGCTGAGACCCCCAGGCTGACGCTGCTCAGGTCACCTTCTCCATGGCTGTTCAGATGGAAATGTCTCAGCGCTGGCCTGTTCCTCCTCTGAAAGGCCTCACTCCGGCTCCCTGGGCTGTCTGGCCAGCACGTGTGGCTGAGCCCCATCCCAAGGGCTTTCAGAGCTGCACCTCAGCACAAGCGATGGGCCAAAAACTGGAGCATAGTGGTAAAATCCATCCGACTTAGAAGGCAGGTAAGAGCAACCAGAGGCTTTTTGAACCTGTGAAACTCCTGGCACATACAACATCCAGCAAAAACTTGAGCAGTTCAGTCACGGTGAAAAGCTGTTTGCTCTTGCTCTGAGCCTGCAGCCTGCTGGCATCGCTTGGGGCTGGCTGCTGTAACCCCCCATGCCTGCAACAGGGACCCAGGGCTGTGCATAGGACTGGGGATGGGAGCAGCTGAGAGCCGTGCAGCGGAACTGCCCGTCCTGATGTCTGACCCCGTGGGAATGGGTCACACGGGGCTTCTCCTTTCCTGCACTACCCGTTAGAGCTGAGTGTCACCTTCCATGGTGTCATTCTCATCTGCCGCTTGGCTTGCCATTTCCACCCATGTTTTATTTATCTGTCAGCTGACAGACACTGAAGGTGAATGATTTCTCTCCCTTTCAGCCAGCACCTGGGCTCCGAATGGTCATTTCTTTGTTGTGGTGCCCTGCAGAGCTGGAGGCTCCCTGAAAGTACTCCATCTCTCCTTCTGTCCCTCTCGCCACCAGCCCTCTTCGCCACTGATGGCGGCGGTCCCAAGTCAAGGCAATGCCTGTAACCCTAACAAAGATGCTGCAGCATTAACAACAGCTGTTGCTTCCAAACTTCTGGTCCACTTTGGTTCAACGGCACCATGCTATAATTCTTCATGTGGAGCCAAATTTTCAAAGGTGAGGATTTGAATCAACAATGTAAGCCAAGAACATAAAAAAAGGGCATGATTTCAGTCTCTGAAGGGTGGGTTTCCCCCACACAAGACAATATATTTCAAATAAATGCTCCCCACCACCACAGGAGCTAAAGGGAAGAGTTAAAAGGATATCCCCAAAGTGCCCCACTTCCAGATTTCATTTTCCTTCTGCAGTTTCAGTGAGCTCACACGGTTCCTGCTTTGCTTCTTCAAGAACTGTCATCAGCAAAGGGACAGAAACATAATAATGAAGCAGCAATTATCAAGCTGAACTTACCTTCTCTGGCTTCATAAACGTCAACACTGAAACCTCGTCTAGCAAAGAAACAGGCATTTAACGCACCCACCTAGGAGAGAAGGAGGAGGAGTGGTGGGTGATGTGTTTCGCTGTATCACAGACCACTACTGAGGTGCATCAGGGGAAAGCAGCTCTCAGGGGATGCGGCTCGGCATATACAAGCAGATGTATATGATGAAGAACCTTAGAGAACTCCTTCCTGGAGAGAAGTCCTCTGGCACCCCTGATGTGCCTGCAGAGCTTCTGAGACAAAAGTCACCCATCAAACCTCATGGTATGAAGTCAGGCCACATTCAGGGTTTGTTTACACGCAGGGACTAACAGCAGCAGGGCTAACGCCTTCAGCTGGAGACAATGGCGGCTGGAACAGGCGAGCTCCCTGCTCCTCCCTGGACTATATTTATCTTCCTCGATAGAATTCAGAGTGCTGCTGCAGTCTCTTGGGAACACAGTGGGAGAAGCTAGACCTGAGCAAAAGCAAGATGCTACCTGAAAAAGGACAGGACACATACGTCTTGCTTGTTATTTAAAAGGATGGCTGTCTTTTTCTTGTTTAATTTCCATCATGAATTGCTGTCAGAACTGTCATTACTCTTTTCCAACAGCACGGGGACCAAGAAGCTAACGACCAAAAGGTCAAAAGAGAGGTTTAGGAGCTGCAATGCTCCATGCTGTCTTTTAGACTCAGATGCATTGCATCTCCAGGATATCTCGGCAGCAAAGCTTTCCCTCAAGGGAAAGA